CATACACATATACTGCACACAGAGAGGTTAATATACACATATAATGTACACAAAGGGGTTAATATACATATATATTGCACACACAGAGGTTAATATACTCATAAACTGCACACAGAGGTTATTATACACAAATACTGCACAGAGAGAGGTTATTATACACATATATTGCGCACAGAGGGGTTACTATACACATATATTGCGCACAGAGGGGTTACTATACACATATACTGCACACAGAGAGGTCAACATACACATATACTGCACACAGAGAGGTTATTATACTCATATTCTGCACACAGAGGGTTTAATATACACATATACTGCACACAGAGGTCAATATACATATATACTGCACACAGAGAGGTTAATATACACATATACTGCTCACAGAGGGTTTAATATACACATATATTGCGCACAGAGGGCTTACTATACACATATACTGCACAAAGAGAGGTCAACATACACATATACTGCACACAGAGGTTAATATACACATATATTGGACACGGGGGGTTAATACACACATATATTGCACACAGAGGGGTTAATATACACATATACTATACACAGAGAGGTTATTATACACATATACTACACACAGAGGTGATTAAAATACACATATATTGCACACGGAGAGGGTTAATATACACATATACTGCACACAGAGGGGTTAATATACATTATATATATTGCACACATAGGTGATTAAAATACACATATATTGAACACAAAGGGGGTTATTATACACACATATAGCACACAGAGGTGGATAATATACACAAATATTGCACAAAGAGGGGTTAATATACACCTATTGCACACAGAGGGGTTAATATACACCTATTGCACACAGAGGGGTTAATATACACCTATTGCACACAGAGGGATTAATATAAACATATATTGCACACAGAGGGGATTAAAATACACATATATTGCCCAAAGACGGGATTAAAATATACATGTATTGCACACGGAGGGAATTATTATACACATATATTACACACGGGGGGGAGGGAGGGTTAATATACACATATACTGCACACAGAGTGGAGGGTTCCTTTAATTTTATTATACCCCAATTCCACTGGAAGATTACAAACTGGTGTGAATTCATCCTACAGCTATCTTTAGCTTGTTTGTCAGAATTTGTGTAATTTATTTTACAGTTTTAGTGTACTGCGCCGCAGAAGATGTTGGCGTTTTATAAATGATAGTAATAATAGCCCGGTCTGTCTGTGGCCCCCAGGTGATGAAGAGGAGGATGACGATGGGAGAGATGAGCGCCTGCCATCGTGCTTTGATTACGTCATGCACTTTCTTACCGTTTTCTGGAAGGTTCTGTTCGCCTTTGTCCCTCCCACGGAATACTGGAACGGCTGGGCCTGCTTCTTTGTCTGCATTATTATTGTGGGATTACTGACAGCCGTTATTGGGGATCTGGCTTCGCATTTCGGCTGTACCGTGGGCCTGAAGGACTCTGTCACCGCTGTGGTGTTTGTGGCTCTTGGAACTTCCATACCAGGTACGGCAAGGTATACCAGATCAGCGAGGGTAATAAGTCACTCCAAGGAGTAAACTCCGCTGTCCACCTCTTAAAATACAATAAATATTGTTTTATAAAGTGTAAAGCACAAAACGTATAGCTGCTTCCAGCATTCTATTGTTCCAGTTTATCCTGCAATTAAAGTCCGCCAATAAACTATTATGATTTACTGAAAAACGCATGTAGCTGCGGAGTATAAACAAACTAGCATTCCTGGTGTTTACTCACCGAGTTGGAATTTGGGAGGAACTGACAAAATTACTATTATTAAGTGAAATAATTCTCCCCCCCGAAACATCCTGTCTGGGGTTTCATTCTGCACTTTTTTCTCCCAAATCTTTGCTTAATTTGGAACATGAATATAGTAGTTTAAATATAAGCCATGGGTGTGTAACCTGAAAACTATTTTAGGACAAATCATATCTTAAAGATTCACATTAAGAATTTTGGGGCATTTGGGGTTATTTTATTCAGTAAATGGCGAGTTGCACTAATTTAAAATCAAATTACAAAATGTATAAGAGTAGCATATTTTTCCCAATTTGGCTGCCGGCCCACACAATATGCGTTGATTGTCTAATCCATGGGTCATCAACTTGGTCCCTACCGCTTCAGGATTCCAGGTGGGCGGTAGGAATTTTCCAATTTTGAGCGACCGGGCGGGCAGGGGCGAGCCGGCGATACCCCTGCGACCAGGTACCGCCATCACCATTTGCGGCCAAGGAGGGCTGCATATGGAGGGTTCCATCGGGTGGCCCATGCTGTCAGGGCCACCCGATGGATGTGGATTGTGAGGGGGCCCGGTCAGCGATGGGCGCTTTAACAGCGCGACCGGGCCCCCTGTGATTACATCACCGAGCTGGGAGGAAGTGACTGCACGTCACTTCTCCCAGCTAACACTGAGAGCCGCGCGGGAGGAAGACCAGGGAGTCAGAGTGGGGACTCTGACTTCCATCCACCTGAGCCACCACTGGACCCCAGGGAAAGTCACCCTCCTGCACCTTAAAGGTAGGAAACAGGAGGGTGACTAAAATATTCTGTGTGTGTTTGTTTGTGAATGTGTCTTTGTATGTATGTCTTGTGTGTGTGTGTCTGTCTGTGTGTGTATGTCTTTGTATGTGTGTCTTATGTATGTGTCTTTGTATGTATGTGTGTCTTTATATGTATGTGTGTTGTATCTGTGTATGTGCCTTTGTATGTATGTCTTATGTGTGTCTGTATGCATGTCTGTGTGTGTCTGTTTGTATGTATGTGTCTTGTGTGTGTATGTCTGTATGTGTGCCTGTCTGTGTGTCTGTATGTATATGTGTGCCTGTCTGTCTGTATGTATGTGTGTATGTATGTGTGTGTGTGTGTGTCTGTATGTATGTATGTGTGCCTGTCTGTTATAGTGGGCTATAGTAAGTAATAGTAAGTGGGATACCTAGCTCAGCCTTCCTACTGGGCATTGCTATAAGGAAGGTTAAAAAAAAATTTTTAAAAAGGGGGAAAAAAAGGTGGGGAGGGGAATTGAGGAGGGAGAGGAGGGGAGCTGACGCACAGATGAGAAATCATATTATGCGCAAACAGAGAAGTCGTCTGAATATCACCGAAAGAGGAGACCTTCGTTTGTTCCTTACGAAAATCGAACCAGATATCAAATATTTAGTCTTGCAGCATCAACCTCAAGGATCTCATTAATCACTAGTAAAGGTAATTTCAATTTACTTTATTGTTTTCTCATTAAACTTTATAAAGTTAAAAACATTATAAACATGCATTAAGTAGAAATAAAAAGATAAATGTACGTACATTTATTTTTTTTAAAACACCCTCCTTTCTAAAAAATATTCCGCACTTGCGCGAAAACTGGTGGGCGGTAAGGAAATTTTTTCAACCAAAAAGATGCATTAGTGGGCGGTAGGTAGAAAAAGGTTGACTACCACTGGTCTAATCCTTCAAGGTGTGATTTATTCATGGTGAGATTGAAATAAAATGTCATGTATAATCTGTGTTCCGTTTCCTCTCTCTCTGACAGACACGTTCGCCAGTAAGGTGGCAGCGACGCAGGACCAGTATGCTGATGCCTGTATCGGCAATGTGACGGGCAGTAATGCAGTTAACGTCTTTTTGGGTATTGGTGTTGCCTGGTCTGTGGCTGCAATCTACTGGGCCATTCAAGGGAAAGACTTTGAGGTCAAGACTGGCACACTAGCATTCTCCGTCACTCTCTTCACCATCTTTGCTTTCATTAGTATCAGCGTCCTCCTGTACCGCCGCCGACCCCATATAGGAGGGGAACTGGGAGGCTCCAAGCTTGCGAAGACCCTTACAGCCCTTCTGTTCATTGGTCTGTGGCTGCTCTACATCCTGTTCTCCAGCCTAGAGGCCTACTGCCATATCAAAGGCTTCTAAAACTGCAGTGAAAGGTGGGGGAGAGCCACCCCTCCTCGAACTCAAGCCTCAAACATTCCACTGGCTCTCACGTTGGCAGTGATAAGTTTATTAGAACTGAATTAAGGGCAAAAAATTTGGATATTTAAATATATTAAACCCCTTCCTCGTACCGCTTGCCCCGACCAACAACCCATAGCACAATTCTGCAAAACGAGGGAATAATAAAAAAAAATCAGTATTGTAACGGGGTCTTCAAAGCAAATTGTTGTAAACAAAAAGAAGAAAGAAACAGATATAGCACATTAAGGAGGGAGCTTGGAAATGGGAAGCAAGCAGCACAGACAGTTGGAAGGATTTTGTCTGTTTCAGGGGACAGTAAAGGGGAAAAAATACCAAGTTTATCATCCTCAGCACTTCGAAAGAAAACAAACCAAATCACCCTTTTTTTGTACAATACAGGAAGTAAAAGTGTGATGTAATGTTGCTTTATGCGCATATCCATTTGGCAACATTGCATCACTTGCTATAGAATTATTACAAAAGGTTTGGTCCCTACGGACACCCTTCTATTTTGATAATTACTTCCTATATTTCTTAAAAAGGGTTTGTTTATATCTCTGCTTGGGTTTGTAGTACACTTGTCAAAAAAAAAAAAAAATGCTTTTCTTTCTTTACTGTTGCCTGTAAATTGCCATCATTTTGTAATTCTGGAAAATAATGGGGTGAGACAGACCATGCAAATAGAGTCCTCTATAATGATATAAGTATGTACAGACAGGTTATGTAACTCTTTCCTAATCAGTTATTGCCATTGTATCTCAATTGAAAGAAATTCTCTAACTGTTCTCCAGTAGTGATGTCCCGAACGGTTCGCCGCGGACAGCGAACATAAACATAAACTTTGACCCTGTACCTCACAGTCAGCAGACACATTCCAGCCAATCAGCAGCAGACCCTCCCTCCCAGACCCTCCCACCTCCTGGACAGCATCCATTTTGAAGCTGCATTCTTAGTGAGCTGTCCAGGAGGTGGGAGGGTATGGGAGGGAGGGTCTGCTGCTGATTGGCTGGAATGTGTCTGCTGACTGTGAGGTACAGGGTCAAAGTATATGTTTATGTTCGCCATCCGCGGCGAACCGTTCGGGACATCACTACTCTCCAGTAATAGAAAATCAAATCTCTCCCAAATGCTGTAATTTTTCTACAGAGTATTAAATCCATCATCAGAGAAAAATCCATTTAAAAAATGATTCTATGGGACATTAATCAGCAATACAGGGAAGCTGCAGGTTGTATAATTTACATGGGATTATTACTTAAATAGTGTAACAAGATTGGAAGGAGAGATTTCCTCACCAAATACTAACACCATAAAGAGAGATAGTATCACTTTCTGTCACCCTTAAGTGGGAGAGACAGACTCTGTGTCCCATAGCTCCTTCTGTCTGTGTCACCCTGCAGTGGGAGGGACAGACTCTGTGTCCCATAGCTCCTTCTGTCTGTGTCACCCTGCAGTGGGAGGGACAGAATCCGTGTCCCATAGCTCCTTCTGTCTGTGTCACCCTGCAGTGGGAGGGGCAGACTCTGTGTCCCATAGCTCCTTCTGTCTGTGTCACCCTGCAGTGGGAGGGGCAGACTCTGTGTCCGCTCCTTCTGTCTGTGTCACCCTGCAGTGGGAGAGACAGACTCTTTGTCTCATAGCTCCCTTCTCTCTGTGTCACTCTGCAATGGGAGGGACAGACTATGTGTCCCATAGCTCCTTCTGTCTGTGTCACCCTGCAGTGGGAGGGGCAGACTCTGTGTCCGCTCCTTCTGTCTGTGTCACCCTGCAGTGGGAGAGACAGACTCTTTGTCTCATAGCTCCCTTCTCTCTGTGTCACTCTGCAATGGGAGGGACAGACTATGTGTCCCATAGCTCCTTCTGTCTGTGTCACCCTTCAGTGGGAGGGACAGATTTGTGTCCCGTAACTCCCTTATCTCTGTCACCCTGCAGTGGTAGGGACAGATTCTGTGTCCCACAGCTCCTTCTGTCTGTGTCACCCTGCAGTGGGAGGGACAGACTCCGTGTCCAATAGTTCCTTCTATCTGTGTCACCCTGCAGTGGGAGGGACAGACTGTGTGTCCCATAGCTCCTTCTGTCTGTGTCACCCTGCAGTGGGAGGGACAGACTCCGTGTCCCATAGCTCCTTCTGTCTGTCACCCTGCAGTGAGAGGGACAGACTCAGTGTCCCATATCTCCTTCTGTCTGTCACCCTGCAGTGGGAGGGACAGACTCAGTGTCCCATAGCTCCTTCTGTCTGTTTCATATTGCAGTGGGAGAAACAGACTCTTTGTCTCATAGCTCCCTTCTGTCTGGTCCACCCTGCAGTGGGAGGGACAGACTCTATCTATGTCAAACTGCAGTGGGAGGATATTACTCCAGGCGCCTTGTCTGTTAGGCCAAATTAAGGTTCCTTCTCTGTTGCACAGCTGATCCCCTTTCTGGGCCAGGGGTGATCCTGTGAAAGCCATAGGGATGCACATTCAGCTTCCACTGCCCTCTAATTTGGCTGCTAGCTAAATCAGGTGGATCCCAGTTACTCTTCCTCCTTTTCTAAATTTCTGTCAGTTTTAAAGCCCTATCGATTGGTTCAGGTTCCTTAAACTAGCCAGTCAGGATTAAGCCATTTGCCAGCTCCTTATCCTAAATGGAAATGATATTTACATATTTATTAATTATTAATGTAATGTAATTACCTGATTACACTGCCAGAGGCCAGTCTTGTCTATACTGCCACCAACTGTTCCCTGTCCACCACAGATACGCCCAAAGGTGGTGCTGGTGTTTCTCGATCACCGTGAGTTGATGATTGGTATTATTATTATTTATAAAGAATCAACAAATTCCGCAGCTCTGTACAATAGATAACAGAAGTATTTACAGGACGAGTTTGACGCACAGGAACAGAGGGTGTCGAGGACCCTGCTCAAACCAGCTTACATTCTAGAAGGATTGGGTAAAGTGACACAAGAGGTAAAGTTAGGTTGTATTTCACGTACGGGAAAGTAGGTTACTAGAATAGTTTACAAAAAGGTTAGTTTATTGGATGACACAGTTGCCCACGGTTTGGCTTTTTTATAATTGGGGGGATGGTTGCGTGCTTGAAGAGTGCAGGAAATATGGCAGAGGAAGGGAGGAGATTGAATATTTTAGTGAGAGTCAGAGCAAGAGTGCGAGTGAGATGTGAGGGAATATGATCAAAGGAACAAGTGATGAGACTGAAAGACCGAAGCAGAGCAGAAACCTCTGATAGCATAGCGGGTGGAAGTGAGCATAGAACTACAGAGAGAGTGGGGTTGGGATAAGTATTCATAGGGGTAGGAAAGAGAATAGAGATCACAGAAATCTTCTCAGCGAAGTGAGTTGCGAAGTTTGTAGCAGTCAAGTTAGTAGGAGGAGGAGCAGCAAAGGGACGAAGGATAGTGTGAAAGAGGCATTTGGGTTCTTGGGAGAGGGTGGTTATGACGTTATTGAAGTAGTTTTCTTTTGCGGAGGAAAGCACCAAACTGTGCGAGCGTTGCATAAATTTATAGTGGAGAAAGTATGACACAGATTAAGACTTTCTCCAGCAGCATTCATCAGTTCTAGAGTATTTTTGGAGGTAATTGGTCAGCTTAGTGTTTCAAGGTTGTAACCGGAATCACTCAGATTGTTTAAATATAGGAGGCACTATGATATCAAAATCAAGTACCTAAACGTCCTCCTTTACAGGAGTGTTGGAGAATTGTAGGTCATCGACACATGAAGAAGCAGGAGTAGTGCCCTCAGAAGGGGGAGCCAGGTCTTAGTAGAGTAGAGAGTGCTAGTAGGGTGAGAGAATTTGATATGAAGAGGTCGTGTAAAGCTGTTGTTTTCAGATTGTTGCAGATGGAACGGGCGTCCCAGAATGTGCATGGAATGTTGGTAGATGAGGATAAATAGCAGGCTACTTGGGTGAGGTTTGAGTGGTTTCTGGTTATCTTAGTGCGAGCAGAGAAGGTGAATAGCTCTGGGTTGGGAGAGCCATCACCAGCTGCTAGAAATAGGAGAAGAGATAGTGACAAGAGATGTGATTGGGTTTTGTATGGACAGGGTCTAGAATGAGATTGTTTTAGAGTATGAGAGAGAGAGAAGTGGGGAGTGTGGCAGAGAGGGGGGAAATTGGAGGTTGGAGGGTTAAGAGTAAATTTGATAGTAGAGGAGGAGAGGGTAAAGAAGAGGAACCTGCAGGATTCAGAGTAATTGCTTTCATTCTCTGCAGGTGAGGGGAGATTATAATGTAGGGAATCCCCTGCAGAGCACAGGTGATTAATGTCTGGTTAATTCTCCTACATCCAGTAGCGCATCATCCAAACCTGGCATAAATCTCTGCCCAAAAAGCCATTGCCGTCTTTATAGCTACAACTTACAAAAGTTATGTTTGAATATCAGGAATGTATAAAACACAGATGTATAAGCCGAACAGCTTCTAAATGAATGAATCTGTAACCATTTCAGCTAATTGTAAGTCTTCCAGAGAGCGCTGGTGTAGCACGCCGCAGCCTGTCGAAGCAGTAAACACGAGCTGTAAGTTTTGCAGCAAATATTCATTGTGTGGTTATGTGATGCAATTCAGATGTGCAAATGCTGCAGGAACATTTCCTAAGTCAGTAGCTGCCCTGTCTGCCAGTCAGGGAACGCACACTGGCGTGGGACCCAAACATGGCGATTAACAACCATCCACAGCACAAATTATCGTATTCATTCACAATAATGGAGATGGTTTTCCGGATGTCTGCTGATCCCCAAATCATCATTATTCTCAACACACTTATTCCAGCCACTGCTCACGGTGATCAAACACAATTTTCTGATGTGCGCTATAAGCAACGGAGACTGTGCTGCCCATGGACCTCTGGGTTTCAACCCGATGGGATGCGTCTCATACAAGGGTGGAAAAGACTTAAATAAGCACATCACTGACACTTTCGGCATCCCCAGGCAAGCGCAATCACGCAAAAGTGGCGAGTTAATAGATGGAGATTTACATTTAAATGTTTACCAAAAAGTAAAAAGAAATTTTAAAAAACTGGGGGCAAACATGTCCTACTTTCTTAGGCAGATGGGGCTCAATGGACTGTGAGGAGAGCTCTTACTGCACATGAACTGGTAGTCCCCCCTGTGGCTGTTTTTATCTGTAATGCTGACCCTAACCTATAGCCCCTGTGTATAAGTCACATAACTGTTGATCTATCTCCTTTATCCCGTGTTACTGTCCTTGTCCAGTTCACCACTTCTACCCATGTCCACTCATCATCTCCCTGTTCTTTTTCCTTCCTCTGTTCATTCCTATCCCCCATTGCATTATCTCATCTGTGCCATCCATTCAACTTCATTCATTATATCCCCAGTTGGCTCTCTCCCCATCTCTCTATTCCAGCTCCCCCTCTCGCTACCTCTCCTCTCCAGCTTGCTTTCTCCCCATCTCTACTTTACAGCTCCCTCTCTCCTCACCTCTCCTTCCCTGCTCCCTCTTATTTCCAGTTCCATGTCGTTCCACTTCTTCTCCCCAGCTCAATCTTCACTCCAAAGAAGACTATTTTGATGTCTTCCTCCCAACATTTTTCCTCCTCACCTGTTTTTCTCTCCTCATGTCCCCCATTTCTCTTCCCCCTTCTGTGTCCCTCTCTTGCCATCTTTTTTCCCTTTCCTGCTGTCTTTCTCCTATCATCATTCCTTCCTCCCACACATTGCATCTCTCGTACCATCTCTTTTCCTTTGTTGTGTCTGACCTACTACCTCTCTTCCTTGATTTTTCTCTCCTACCATCACTGTCTCTCGCTTACCAATTCTCTTCCCCGTTGTCTCTCCCAATATCTCCTTTCCTGCTGTCTCTCCCAATCTCTCCTCCCTTGCTGTCTCTCCTAAGTCCCAATCTGCCTGTGCTGATAAAGAATGGTCCCCAGCATGTCTAGATGAAATCTATAACTTTATGAATATAATTATTTATTTATTTTGAAGCTTTGTCCTTTTGTTGTCATTCTTTGAGCCAGTTATACAGTGATTACATTGTGTTCAGTAAATCTCAATGAACCAGTCAACGATGTGGGTAAGTTATACAAGGTAAATGAGGTATCTCAAAGGTCCACAACGTGAGAGGTCTTGGGACGCCATAGCAAAGAGTAACAGTGACAATTCCAAGAGAATTTCTTTTTTTAGGCCAAAGTAGCCAAATGGAGCATAGATGATAAATATTTTTTCCAGTACATCTATTTTGAACTGAAGTTGGATACTTACAATAACCCAGATAGTGTGTGGTCATACCTGGATGAAGCATTATATCTGGGAATTAGGTAACACAGATAGCAACTATCTCCCTTCCTATAGCATTATAAAACAAACATGTATTCCTAAGACCACTCTAGGTGGAGTTAAAGGGAAAGTGTAACGAACCTCCAGTACCCAGAATGGTACGCTTGTCTGAACGCTCCTTAATTCCTGCAAGATTCCTGTGGTTAAGCCGTTCGTTCTATTGCATACCCAAACATCAGTCGAGGCTAGATAAAGGGTACAACTGGAATGCTTTATTGGTGGCCTGCTTATATACACAGACCCCCAGCATGGGGTCTTCAGAAAAAACATAAGTAAACCCGCCCAGGCATCTCGGTGTCTGGAAGATAAGTGAGTTTGATTTGCTTAAACTAATTATCTCCCAGGCAGTAGAGGTAGCATGCACAAACCAAAAAACACACACAATATTAATAGGAACCCCCACAAGTCTTATATTACCGGATAGCCTGGATCTGAGCGCCCAATTAGCACTCAGATCCTTATAGTGCAGCCGAAATGCCACCGGGGTAAAGTTTTGACCGGCCGCACACATGGCGGCTGCCCAAATTATTTCATTAAGAAAAACGGTAGAGGTTGGTCAGTCTTGGGGAGTTCCTGCACGAAATTAAACTAATGTTTCCCTGGCTCGTAGGGAGTGAATGTTCACCTCGTTCGGGAGTGTCTTTTCACCGAACAGCGCTCTCCTGGCTTGTCTTGGAAAGAAGTAGGCAACGGTACAAAGTTACTGGGGTTCGCAGTTCTAGAGTATCCACTGGATCTAAGGTATCAGTCCTAGAGTTCCATGCACTTGATGACCTCGTACCACTGCCTGCGTTCGGGAGACAAAATAGCCGCCATTTGCCAGAGCATGTATGTTCGGTTATACGAATGGCGGCCACCCATAAAGAGCACTTGAGTTTGTAGTTTTCTTTGAAGGTAAATAGCCAGGGGGGTCTTCGGTGTTCGGTAGAAAAAAGTACTGAACCAAGGGGAAACAACTTGGGCTTGGAGAAAATTTAAATAGTCCAGGGCAGTTTGTCACAGAGAGCTTGCAAACTTATTTTTTTCTTCATAGAACTACGAGAAAAAAAAAAAAAATATATATATATATATGTATGTTTTCTTTGGTGATATATCTACTACTAAACAGGGAAAATAAATCCGTGGAATGTTCCTCTAAAATTAAGTAAACCGCTGGTTGGTTTAAATCAATGTATGGACAGATCTCTATCAGAAAGAGCTTGAATCCTTCGTAGAACTGAATCCTTTACCAGGATTCTATCCTATTGATTCCTCCCAATCTGCTTGTTCCTTTAGGGATGGGGTAGGAAACGGCTGATATTCACCTAGTGATTGTGAGGGTGACTTTATAGGGGCCCCCAGAGGGTTGTACACAGTAACTAACAGTTTAACATTACAGTGGGGGCTCCTCTCTCCAATGATGTGCTCCTCATATCTGTAGTCCTCATTACTGGTTGAATATAGGCCCTACCCCTTTTATTAGGAACATCCCCTGAAAATAAGCTAGGGCATGTTTTCGGGGGATGTCCTATGTTCGGAGAAACATGGTAAATATCAGAATTAGGAGAACTCTTGTTAGATTCCCTACTATAGCTTGCAGATCCATCATAGATTAAAGTATACGGTCATCTATTGTGATTCACAGTGTATTGAAAAAAATGTTACTGCCAACTTTGGCTACAAATACAACATAGTAAACACGGAATTACAGGGGTAATTCTAACTGATGACCTCTTACATTGCGTCAAACATGGGCCCATTACACCAATTTGGGAAAAAGTGCATTTCGAAGACTAAATAGACAGGCACCTAATTTGGCCCTAGAACTTTGTAAAGCTTTTCATGGAGGGCAGTTTTCCCACTCCTCTCAAACTGATTTTTCGGAAGTGCCGAACCAAAGTAACTAATTATGGAAGTGCCGAACTAAATTTTTTGCCCACGCACGTCCCTAATATTTATTGAATGAAACAATTCAGAAAATAAAGCAAGATTTACTAAACAGAAAACTGCTATGAAATATGCAAAAGCAGAGTGTTAAATGCATCTTTGCCGAACCGCTCTCTCCACATAAATTCTGCAACATATTTTAGAAGCAAATCATGAAAAACACCCTTTTTTTGTCTTGATATGAACCTTACATCTATAGACTCTTTATGTTGCGTGTGGGCACCAGTTGCAGAAATGTATTGTTGGATCACTGTGATTGACACGCTCATGACTCTAACTTAGTGCCAGTTGAATATTGTTTTAGGCAGCCTAGAAATTACTGCTTGGTTGCTTCATCTAAGTATTGCTTCTAAGTGTGTGGTTGGAGATATTCTGGAGGTAATCTGAGGTATTCAGGAGGATAAATAAAAAATTAAGATTTGTTTGATTTAAATTATTCACCTCATTGGAATGGAAGACTTAGTTCAGTGTAATAGTTGCTATGCATTTGTTTCACGTTCCACTTTTTGAAGGTTTGGTTGTTGTCTAATCTGTAGACCGTTCACTATCTTGCGGCAGGAGATTGTATTTTTGAAGTCTGAGATTTGTAAATTATCTGGTAAACAAACTCAGACTGGAACTGCTGCAAAGCCACTGCCGCAGAGACATACCAGGAAAGGCAGATGGATTACTGTAGGATCTGGTAGACTTAGAGTTGTGGATAAAAGGCATATTGCACAGTCTGTTGCTATACATAATTCATTTTCTACACTTTCAGGGTGTAATGGTGTTATGGAGACAGGCACTGAGGGTAGTGGTGTTGTGGAGAGAGGCACTGAAGCTAGTGGTGTTGTGGAGAGAGGCACGGAGGCTAGTGGTGTTGTGGAGAGAGGCACGGAGGCTAGTGGTGTTGTGGAGAGAGGCACGGAGGCTAATGGTGTTGTGGAGACATGCTCAGGCCCTGAGGCTAGTGGTGTTGTGGAGACAGGCTTAGACACGGAGGCTAATGGTGTTGTGGAGACAGACTTGGAGACTATGGTGAGGCCTAACAGAAAGCAGTTGTTGTTGGGGGATTCCATCATAAGAGGTGTGGAGATGGACAATGGTGGTCTTGTGAGGTGTCTTCCCAGAGCTACTGCTCACAGAGACAGGAGACGTATCTGTAATATTGTTAAGCGAGCAAAGCAGGAAGGGGAATTGGATGTACTTGTCCATATAGGGACAAATGACTTGACTTGCAATGAGGTTTCAGAGGTTAAAGGGACACTGTAGTCACTATAAGCATTTCATCTCTTTGAATTGGCTATAGTGCCTGGAGTACCCTGGCACTGTCCCTCCATTCAGTGTTGAACCATGTTCGTGCAGTATGCCACAAAATAAGAGTCCCTGGCCATCCACAGTCCTGCCACTTCAGTATGTGTAGCTAAGGCAGAGATTACACACTTCCTTGTTGTCATACCCATTCATACCGTCAGTTGGAACTCTGACAGGTTAAAAGCAGTCAGCTGATACTCTCAGCCAATCACAGCTGCCCATTGCTGCTCAGGCTAATACTTCCTTATTAGCCAAAGCATCACAGAGGGGATGGATTGCCGGGGACTCTTGTTTAGCATTAAAACTTTAAAAACTGTTTAATGCTGATAGAAATGATGGGACCAGAGGACTCCAGACACTATAACCAGTTTAATTAGATGAAGCAGATACAGTGCCTACGGTGTCCCTTTAAGGAAGTTTTTAGTATTTTTGCCAATGATATACGGCAGGTTGCTTCCACACTGTCATTCTCTGAAGTTCTGCCTGTGCAGAACACTCAGAACGACAGGCGGATGCGTATTAGGGACTGTAACTTGTGGCTTGGTGAATGGTGTTGGGAGCAAGAATTTGGCTTTATTTCTCATGGTAGCTCTGTTTGGAATGGAAATAAACTGTACAAAAAAGATGGTTTGCATCTTTCTCAAAAAGGAAAAAATGTTCGCAATGAGCAGTTCAGAGGTTTTGCTAGGATGTATTTAAACTAGGAGGGAGGGGGGGGCAAAAGGGTGATAAACCATCAATCCAATTGTCCCCCAAAACAAGGACAGAAGGTGCCTGTAGCAAGTGTGTTAAAAAATGATAAGCTTAGAGTCATGTGGAGAGAGGCACTGAGGCTAGTGGTGTTGTGGAGAGAGGCACTGAGACTAGTGGTGTTGTGGAGAGAGGCACTGAGACTAGTGGTGTTGTGGAGAGAGGCACTGAGACTAGTGGTGTTGTGGAGAGAGGCACTGAGACAAGTGGTGTTGTAGAGAGAGGCACTGAGACTAGTGGTGTTGTGGAGAGAGGCACTGAGACAAGTGGTGTTGTAGAGAGAGGCACTGAGGCTAGTGGTGTTGTGGAGAGAGGCACTGAGGCTAGTGGTGTTGTGGAGAGAGGCACTGAGGCTAGTGGTGATGTGGAGAGAGGCACTGAGGCTAGTGGTGTTGTGGAGAGAGGCACTGAGACTAGTGGTGTTGTGGAGAGAGGCACTGAGGCTAGTGGTGTTGTGGAGAGAGGCACTGAGACTAGTGGTGTTGTGGAGACCGGCTTGGAGACTATGGTGAGGCCTAATAGAAAGCAGTTGTTGTTGGGTGATTCCATTAAAAGAGGTGTGGAGAAGGACAATGGTGGTCTTGTGAGGTGTCTTCCCAGAGCTACTGCTCACAGAGACAGGAGACGTATCTGTAATATTGTTAAGCAAGCAAAGCAGGAAGGGGAATTGGATGTACTTG